GTAAGGGGCAGAAGGTCTCTAAGGATTGTGAGGAAATGCTTTTTCACCCAGAGAGTGGTGGGAATCTGGAACTCACTGCCTGTAAGGGTGGTAGAGACAGAAACTGTCATAACATTTAAGAAGCAGTTAGATATGCACTCACAATGCCTTAATATACAAGGCAGTGGGCCAAATGCTGGAAAATAGGTTTAGAGTAATTAGATGGCTTTTTTGACCAGCACCAAGATGATGGGCCAAAGGACCTTATTCTGTTCTGTTCACCCCTGCAATTCTACAAACCTTTTTCTCAGCGGGGAGTTAACAAACAACGATTGAGACTGAATCACAGAAAGAGATTCTCAGGCGGATAATCGGAACTTGGACAGAAGGAAGAGAGGGTGAGGTGGCAAGGCGGAGGCATTGAGGAGGGAATTCCAGGGACTGGGGACTTGGCAGCTGAAGGGACAGCCACTAGTCTGTGTGGAGTTTGCACATTCTCCCTGTGTCTGTGTGGGTTTCCTCCGAGTGCTCCGGTTTCCTCCCACAGTCCAAAGATATACAGGCTAGGTGGATTGGTCATGCTAAATTGCCCATAGTGTTCAGGGAGTAGCTTAGGTGGGTTACAGGGGGATGGGTCTGGGTGGGATGCTCTGAGGTTCAATGTGGACTTGTTGGGCCGAAGGGCCTGTTTCCACACTGTAGGGATTCTATGATTATTCTATGATAACTTTCAAAAGCTGGGAATGGGAAGAGATCTCGGAAGGCTGTGCGGCTGAAGGAGGGAGTGAGTGAGTGGTGAGGCAGCGGAAGGAATTAAGAATATAGAGAGGCTGAATAGTCAGGGGCTATTTTCCCTGGAGCTTTGGAGACTGAGGAGTTACCTTATAAAGGTTTATAAAATCATGAGAGGCAGAGATAGGGTGAATAGCCAAGGTCTTTTTCCCAGGATGGAGGAGTTTAAAACTAGAGGACATAGGTTTAAGGCAAGCGGGGAAATATTTAAAAGGGACGTAAGGGGTAACTTTTTCACGCAGAGGATGGTATTCGTATGGAATAAGCTGCTAGAGGAAGTGGTAGAGGCTGGTACAATTACAGCATTTAAAAGGCAACTGGATGGATACATGAATAGGAAGGTTTAGAGGGATATGAGCAAAATGCCAGCAAATGGGTCTAGACTAATTTAGGATATCTGGTCAGCATCGACGAGTTGGACCGAAGAGTCTGTTTCCGTGCTGTATGAGTCTATGACTGTATGTGCCTTGAGAGGCTACATCTGGGAATAATTAAGCACTAATTTACCATCTTGTTCAAAGAGTATCTGGTAGGAAAACTGGAATAGAAATGAGTATGTGAGCTATATTTACTGGGTGCTGATGCTGTGCAAGGAATGTACCTTACATCTTACACTTATATAAAATTTTTATTTCTATATGAAAGCGGCTCTAGAAATTAATTTTAGTATAGAAATTTAAGTCATAGATAGTTAGAAATATACAGCTCAGTAGAAGGCCATCAGGCCCCTCATATCTGTGCTAGCTCATTAAAAATACAATTCAATTACTGTTGTCTTATTTTTCTGCTCTGTCCTCATAGCCCTTGTCCTTTTCATGTCTATACTCATTTTGTTTTGATGATTTTCATTGAACCTGTTTCCTTTGCTGTCCCAGGTACTTTCCAAATATGACCAATCACTGCTTGAGAAGGCCCTGTCAGTTCAAGCTATGTTTCTGATTGTTGGTGTGGTGCAGTACATGTTACTTCACATTTTATTGTCACGTATACCCGAGAACAGGAAATCAGTCAAAGATGCAAAGAGCCACCACTTTCTGGAGCCATCTTAGAATTCTAAATTCAAAGCAGAAAATAAAGAAAATAAATAAACAGCAATGTCCAGTTCTGTCAAGCCCCTCGCCTACTTGGCTGTGATCTCCCTGGCTCTCCCTCCTGATGCAGGAAATTGGCTGGGCCCTGGAAGCTCCATCACCTCCTGGGGCCCAGGCAGGGTCCCAGTTCAAGGCTTCACTGCTGCTGCCACCATTGCCACACTGGACCCACCCTTACCCCACTGCCACCACCTTCCTTCACTTTCGCTGCCAAAACAGCAAAAAGATGAAGATGAAAAGGATGCAAAGAGATGAAAAGGTGTGGCCAGGGTGGATGTGCCCCAGGCTCAGGAGCCTGAACACAGCCTACTCTGCCACCGCCACCTTGTATCTGTGTGTTGACTCGTGTTGTTTGATTACTGTAACACACCACACACACACACAGACACACACACACATAAACACATACACACACACACACGCAGACACACAAACACACAAACAGACACAAGCACACATGCAGACACAAGCACACACAGACACACAGACACACACAGACACATGCACACACAAACACACACAGAGGCACACACACAGACACGCACACACACACAGACACACACGCAGACACAAGCACACACAGACACATGCACATGCACAAGCACACACAGACACGCAGACACACACAGACACACGCATACACACACAGACACACGCACACACACACACACACACAGGCACACACACAGACATGCACACACACAGACAGACGCACATGCACAGACATGTGCACAGACTTGCACACACACACACACAGACACGCACTCACACACAGACACGCACACAGACACAGACACACATAAAGCAGTGGAGAGTGTAACAAAGTGAACATTTGGAGTGTGGGGTGAGTTTAGCTGCTATGGTGGGCCAGCAGCTTGTCCTTTGTGCTCACTCTCTCTGTGAGAGCATCTGAGCTGATTTCTTGTCTGCTCAAAGCTACTGGGAGACAGGTAGCTCAGAACGTGAAAGTTTTGCACAGACTTTGCTATTTTCTCAGCAATCTGTTTGCAGTCTCTCCATCCATCCCAAGGAAGATAGGGTGCGGGCCATGAATTTTTTAATTTCAAAAATATGCTTTATTCATAAAAATATCTTTACATACACACAATCACTAAAACAGTTTGGTTCTGTACAGTAGTATATGAAAGCACAAACAAACACTGGATTTGACTCTATCCAACAAACAAATGAAAGGCATTTCTTTCTTGTACAAGATTAAATTTACATATACTTGAGGCTGTGGGAGGTTCCTATAACTAAACGGACCCCTATTTAACTTCAGCAGAAAGACCTTAGGCATACCGCGAGATGTGTATACACAGCAGCTTATAAATGTAGGTGCCCATATCCACTGCTTTCACTCTCTGTCTCTCTCTCTCTCTGTCTGTAGTTCAACAGTGTAGAGTAGATGACACACCCTCACTGTTTATCCCTTTCTGTCCTTTCACTTTTCAATGAAGCTGTTACCAATCCACCTTCCTCTTTCCTGTCAGTGACACTATTCTATTGAACAACTGATGTGCTCATTTTTTTTTTGCTGTCGTCTCGTGAGGATCCAGCACAGCCATTTCCTCTCCATGCTGCTGTCTAACACAAACTCTGCTCCCTTATACAGGGTTCTCAATGTCAATGTGGGAACATGCCTGAATTCACTCACTCTACCTGCATCTTCTCACCCTACCGCTACACTGCTTTTAGTTTCATGGCAATGATGTGAAATGTAGAAATTTTTCTCATTTATTACGCTGGACAGTGAGGAGGTATGGGAAGGGGATCATCCCCTACCGCTTGAACTATCAGAGCCATAAACACTTCCCTTAAACAACAGCGCATTCAGTAACTCTCCCTCCTAGTAACCTATTACTGCCCTTTGACCTTTGGCCCTGGAATTCCCAGGGCCAGGACTGGGCAGACAGCTTCCCATTGGCTTAAGGAATGATTTGGGGGCTCAGTTTCCACAAAGAAGGTGCAGCACTGGAGGAGGCCTTTAGGCCCATTCAAATAAGTTTTCCTGGCATCCTGGCCTTTTGAATTCTGGCTGCGTGGCATGCGAATGAATTTTCATAGCGCCCCTGCCCTCCCAACAGCCATTCTTGGGGGAAACTGGGTATGGTCTTTATCACAAAAAGGAGCAGAGGGAGGTCTTGCTTCCACTGTACGGGGTACTGGTAAGACTGCTGCTGGAGAACAGTTTTGGTTTGATTTGATTTATTGTTGTCTTGTGTACCAGGGTACAGTGAAAAGTATTTTCTTAATGCTTTACAGACAGATCACATTGTACAAGTGCATCAGGGTAACATACCAGAGTGCAGGATACAATGTTACAGCATTCCAGAAGGTGCAGGGAGAGATCAAAATTAACATTAAAGAGGTCCATTCAAAAGTCTAATAACAGCAGGTAAGAAGCTGTTCTTGAATCTGTTCATACATGTATATAAACTTTTATATCTTCTGCCTGACACAAAAGGGTGGAAGAGAGAATAACCAGGGTAGAGGGGTCTTTAATGATGTTGGTTGCTTTCCCGAGGAAACAGGAAGTATAGATGGAGTCAATGGATGGAAGGCTGGTTTGCGTGATGGACTGGGCTGTGTTCACAACTCTCTGTAGTTTCTTTCAGTCTTGGGAAGAGCAATTGCCATACCACATTGTGATGCATCCAGATGGGATGCTTTCTATGGTGCCTGTATAAAAATTGGTAAGACCAGTGTTGGTTTCCTTTCTCAAGGAGGGACAGACAACAGGATTTGATCGTGACCGTATGTTGCAGACTGGCAAATCCCAGGGTCCAACACTCGGTGCTAAGGGATGCAGTAAAGCTTGGGGTAGTCACTGCAGAGATTCAGTGAGGAGAGGTCACTGTGTAAGGCCTTTCAGCCAGAGTTCACTGGGAACTGGAAAACCCTGAGGGCTCTGTGACTCACAAAGAACCAAGAACTTCAAAAATGTACTACATGCTGAATAGTGAAATCATATTAGATTCGATTACACCATTTCTAATTTGAATTAATCTTGCCCTTGGACTGCATTGCTGATGTGGCTAGATATACTAACTGTTACAATTGAATTTTGTTGCAAGTCCTTTAATATTGCAATTACAGAATTGTTACAACAGAAGGAGGCCATTCAGCCAATCATACCTGCTCCAGTTTTATGTTCTCGTGGCAATGTCCTGCCTTTTCTTCATCTCCCTCCACACCATTTTTGTCCCAAGAAATCATCCAATACCATCTTGAATGTGTAAATTGAACCTGCCTCCACCACATTCTGGGCCAGAGCCTAACTACTCAATGTGTGAGAAAGTTTATTTCTCACATCACCCTTACTCTCTTTGCATTTCACTTTTAATCTATGCCTTCTCTTTCTGGCTTCTTCAACAAGTGGGAAAATCCTGGAATCCCCTCCCTAATAGCATTGTGGATCAACCTACAGCTCATGGACTGCAGCAGTTCAAGAAGGCAGCTCACTACCACCTTCTCAAGGAGCAACTATGGACAGGCCATAAATAATGACAGTGATGCCCATGCCTCATGAGCGAATAAGATAATAAATAATTGACAGCCGATAGAAGTTAGTGAACAGTGGGACAATAGGGGATTGGGATTTGTTGTGAGTTAACACACAATTAACCCTGAGTTTTGGCTGATTTATGGAGCATTGCAGTTCTCTCTTGATGCTGCTTAACGCTTCAACTGCCACTCCTTTCAGGTCTCTTTCACTGAGCTTTTGGGTATCTGTCCTATTATATGAGCCTGAATGTTATTTTTACAATCATGCTCCTGTGAAACATCTCGGGGCGGGGGGGGGGGGGGGGGGGTGGTTTATGATATTAACGGTGCTATAACAACACAAGTTGTTGTTGTCTCTGTCCCTGATTCTTTCTTTCCATGTCTCCCTCTCTCTCTCTCTCACACACACCTTCATTCTCACAGCATCACTTGTCTCAAACATTCCCTCTCTCACTTCACATTGTGTTTCCCTCTATATCTCTGTGCCTCTCTGTCTCTCTCTCTCTTTTATGCTCCTTTCCTCTCTCTTTCTAACAGGACCTTTCTCATCCTGTTACACTGACCCTCTTCCACTCTCTACTCCTCCTTGTGCCAACTCCAGACTCTGTTTCCCTTTCTCCGACAGCAGCCAGGGGTTTATTTAACATTCAGCTGGCCCCGTCCCTTTGCTGGGTGTGAGGCCTGGGAGGCCAATTGGAATAAAGGGCTGGACCGTGACGCCACTGTTGCCGGGTAGAGTCTGTGACTTCAGGTTATCCGACAGTCAGCGAGCAGAGGGTTAGCCTCTGCCGCCCCCTGTGGAGGGTTGGAGGAGTACAGCAGGGTTCCGGACTTTGTTCTTTCTCAGGGCTTCCTTTGCGGTGAAGGAGTTTGGGGGTGATCTGTGACAGCACTGAGTGAGCTGTATCGAGATTTCCATGCTTTGCAACTCCGTCTCCAACACTACCTTGAAGAAAAAACCTCTGCAATCAGGCAAAAAGCTGTAACTTTTTTTTGTACCAAAAATTTACATCATTCATATAATTTTGGAATAATACTGGCAACAAAGTTCAATATGTCCCCTCCGGCAAGTTGCACTCAATAGGATTACAGAATCTTAATAGGTACTTATAAAATACATTCCATGTCAGGTACACAGCCTGAGGGGAATACATTTCAAATTGGAAACGACAGAAAATGCAGTAGATAGAAAGTGTTTCTCTGCCCACCATGTTTCACGCTGGAGCACCTCAGTACAGTTTCAACCTTCTTGATTTATAATGTTCTTTGTGAATCCCACAGTTCGAGGGGTATTATAGTTCCCATGCCCTCGGCTAACAAACCTTAGACTGTGACCTTTCCTCATTGTGTCTCTTGACGTCGTACTCCCACTGTCTCCCCATACCCCTCGACAACTTTAGCCTCGTGAAATCTACCTCTTTCTTGAATATATTCAGTGGCTTGACACCCATTGCCTTCTGTGGTGGAGAATTTCACAGATTTACTACCCTCCAGGTACAGGAATTTCTCAGCTGAGTCTGAAATGGCCTACATTGTATCCTCACACCATGACCTCTTGTTCTGAGTTTTCATGGCCCAAGGAAACATCATCCCAGCATTCAGTCTGTCAGTCCTGTCAAAATTTTATATGTTTCAGTGTGATCCCCCTTCATTCTTCTAAACTTGAGAGAATACAGGCCCAGTCAATCCAATGTCTCCTCATACGACAAACCTGCCATCGCAGGAATCAATCTCATAAACCCTCTATAGCAAGAACATCCTTCCTCAGTTAAGAATATTGAAACTGCACACAGTACGGAGATGTGGTCTCACCTAGTCCCCTGTAAAGTTGCAGCAAGACCTCCCTGCTCCTGTACTCAAAACCTCTCACAATGAAGGTCAACACAACCATTTGAGATAACGAGATGTAGAGCTGGATGAACACAGCAGGCCAAGCAGCATCAGAGGAGCAGGAAAGCTGAC